CAAGTAAGGATTAAAAAATGATTTACAAAAAAACGAGTTTTATTTCATATTTTAATCAAAAAATTACATTTTTCAGTAATTCGATTGTAACATTTAGGATTATAAAAAAAAATTTTTTTGTTTTTTTTTATTTTTTAAAATGATTTTCTTTGGACTCTAACGTCTTTTCTGCTTTCATCTAATAAAGTTCTATATATTACAGCTGCGTTGTGACCCAAAGTGTCCGCGTATTCTTTGACCTTTTTGGACCTCAAGATCTCATCGATGCCATTTACGATAGACTCGAAACTGACCTCTAACATTAGAGATGGTTTGTCACTTTTGAAATGAACGATTTCTGGTTCTAGAAAAAAAATGCGAAAGTTTACGCCCTAAATGTTATATAAGGGCCTTTCCCACCACTGGCTGATAGAGGCACAGATAGCTTAAAAATGTCGTTACTGTCAGACGGTAACACAATCCGATATTTTGATCACATGTTTTACACGTTAGATTGTTATCAGACAGGACAGTCCTACTAAATTGTAAATTGTCTAATAACCGATGTAGCTATCTGACACTCTATCAGCCAGTAGTGGGAGTGACTCTTAATGTCTATAATGAAGTATTTTTTTCATATCAACTTATACTTACTTATATTATAACTCCTTTTGTTAGATCTGAAAAATGCTTTGACATTCTCATCTTCAATAATGTTTCTGACAAAATTCTGTATACTTTGTGCCACGTTCGGTTTGATTGGTTCCAATTTTCTGTTAACCCCAGTATGTATAGCTAGAACTAGACTTTCTAGGTGTTTCAATTGTTCTTCTAGATTGGCGCGTGTGTTCATCCTTCTAGAAGGTATATTCATCTTTGGTACGACTTTGTGGATTAAAGCGTCGATGTCCGTGTAATTGTCGCTTTTACGTATTTTCACAAACGCTCCGGTTATTGTGATTAAAAATGACGCTGAAATATAACCTCACAAATATAAATGCAAAAGTTTAGATGGATTGTTAGTTTGTAGCCTAAACTGATGAACGGATCTCGGTGTCTACTTAATTGATTTTTAATTCCGCGCAGACAAAGTCGCGAGAAAGCTACTCTATACTAATATTATAAGGTAGAAAGATTTACATTTGTATGAAATGAAATAACTCAAAAAGTAAAAAACCGATTTCAAAAATTCTTACACCATTAAAAAGCTACGTTATCACTGAATGACATAGGCTATATTGTTTTTTTTTTAATTTCCCGAGGATGAATAAGTAAAAAAAGCTTGTAATGAAAGCAGTAAATATACATTTCGACGTCTAGGGTTAAAACACTGCCTGTATTTTAGACTGAAATTAATATTTGAAGCAATTTTTATTTACACAATTACTTACCTAAGAATAAGTACTTGAAGGAGTTCATTTTACCTCAATATTCAACGAAAATGTGATAAAATCCATAAAAACGCTATAAAATATAAGCAGAACATTAACAAGAAACTAAAAGTGGCAGTTAAATTAATCTTTAATTATAAAACTAGCTTTCGGCTGCGACTCCGTCCGAACTAAACAAAGTAACCTGTGTCCAGACTATCCTCTACCGGCCGGTCTCAATTACGGATCCTGGATCGGGAGATTGCTTCAATCGGAGATATAAAAAGACCTGCTGATGGATCACTAATCTGCGTCTCAATAACACTGGATAGCAAATATCTATCGATTTTCACGATGGATCGCTATTTTTGATTGGGATTTTCGATTGATAAAATTGCATATTGAGGCCGGTACGGTCATTGGCATCTATGACAATCGAGATCCGTCCAGTTTAGGATACATCTAAACTTTCGCATTTATATTAGTAAGATTTTATTATTTTCGTTTATTTAAGGGACAGCGCTCTTTAGTAGTATAAAAACGGGGTTTTTAATGAAACAATATAGTAACAATAATCATTATATTTATTCATTTTAACTAGGAATGAAATAAATCACAAATTAAAGCATACGAAGCACCAAAGACATTTAAGAAATATATAAACGAGATTGAACATTTTTTCATCGGTACTTTCTCTGAAAAGTACTATATCAGTTGTCAAGTTTAGTACCGCCTTTGTATTGTTATGTAAAACATTTAACTAAATTATAATAAGCTCCATCTATACTATATATAATAAAGAGGAAATATTTGTATTTTTGTATGTATTGAAATAACTCAAAAACTATTGGACAGATTAAAAAAATCTTTCACCATTAGAAAGGTAATTTAACGGGGACAAATTCGCGAGCAACAACTCTTCTATTAGTAATTTTGACATGTTTTGAAGATTCAATAATAGATGGCGTTAGTGAAAAATAATAGTTTACATGTAATTGGTGTACCTTATAAATAAATGTGGTTTCGAAGATTTAACAATAGATGGCGTTATTAAATGTTTTCTACAGTCTATATATTTCTTTTAATATCTTTGCTAAGCACCTAAGATACGAAACTTCGATGGTATCACTTTTTGAATTAAAATGGTATTTAGTAAACAAAATATAAAAGAAATAGTAAATTTTAGTATTATACATTCTCAATCCATACTAAACTTTTCCTTAGTGATAGTTAAGGACGTAATAAATTTTAATTCCATAATTACATAAGCCCTTAAGAATTTTTATACAAAACATAGATATATAACCTAATATCTATTTCCATACATAAAAACTTTATTTTATTATTTACACTAGCTGTTGCCCGCGACTTCGTCCACGCAATATTAAAATAAAGTAGCCTATAATATGCCCGTCTGTCAGTTACCCTCCAGTGAAAATCCGATCGATTACCTGATTATAAGATTACCCGGAACAAACGCGGCTTGTAGATAGACAGACAAACATTTTTTAATGCGATTTTCGTTACCAGCAACGCAAATACATCTTCCCGAAATTTCGGGAAGTTGAAGTTATCAGCTACTCGTTTGAGTCGAAACGAAACAACGAAAATCACATTAAAAATAATAATCAGGTAATCGATCGGACTTTCACTGGAGGGTAACTGACATAGACGGACATATTATAGGCTCCTTTCTACCTTAAATTGGTGGACGAAATCGCGGGCAACAGCTAATTTATCATACAAAAGATTTGACTTGATTCTCGATAAATTAAAATTGTATGGACTGTCTAGATTATACATCTATGGTAAGTACAAAATAAATAAATTAAGTTATGGCATTTAAGAGTTACACTTAGAGAATAATTACTTTGACTATTCGCTTATTTTACTGAAGTGTATTACTTTGAGTCGGGCAATTTTACTTAAATGTTCTTATGAAATTTTTATGTACTTCGAGTCGGTCAATTTTGCAAATGTTCTCATGATAATTCTATACAGTTTGAGTCGGGTAAAATGTGGACTTATAAGAGGATATTATTTATAAAAAATTAATTAACTATGAGTAGGGCAATTTTGAAAATGTTCTCGTGAAAATTCTATTTATTTTGAGTCGGGCAAAATGTTGACTCACAAGAGGATATTATTTTTAAAATATTAACTATGAGTAGGGTAATTTTTTTCCCATACGTTCTCGTGAAAATACTATACTTTGAGTCGGGTAAAATGTTGACTGAGTCGGGCATTTTTTTCTTGTGAAATGTGATTTTGTTATAACGAGACCAGAAATATTAAAAAATCGTCATGTTTTGGTTGTTGAAAATATTTTTTATATAGATTAGAAAATATTTTAGATTTCAATCCCCTTCAATTTCGTACAAAAGATGGGAAGTGGATTCGGCAAGGGATGGGACAGTTAGGGGAAATATTTGTTAATTAGTAAAAGCATCTGGTTTTTGGTAACAGTCTCTTCCCTATTTTGGCAAATACCGTTTAGAATATTTAACAAAAAAAAATACCTTTAAAATGACGTATTTGGTTTCAGTAAGGTTTCATAAATTTTATCATTTTACGGTAAAATTAGTTTTTTCACACACTTCAGTAAAAAAAGCATTTATAATAATATTTTATTATTAACCGTAAATTCGCATTGTCGTAAACAATTTGTAGTCTTTTGAAAATTACTATGTTTCGGAAAAAATTTACTTATAGGAGGGTAATGTACTTGAGAAAATAACTACGAGTCGGGCATTTTTCTCAAAATTATCCACGGCAATGCGAACAAACGTCACCTCATTGGTCCGTAGCGAAATATCTTAAATTACGATAAATACTTCATATAAAAAACATAAGTACACAATTTTTAAAATAAACTCAAACATGAAATAAAGCTGATTTTTCTACGGACGTGTTTAGTACAAAATATTTACATTTATATACAAAATCGTGTCTCTTTATATTGTCAATAAATACTATACATAAAACTTACAGCCTTACAAATAAACACGGTAAAAAGTTAAACTTAGGAATAATAAACTATTTAACTACGTCGTAGTCTTTGACTCCAAAAATCAAACAAAAAAATGGGACCCACCTGCAAGCATTACCTTTCGGATAAAAAAAGAATTATCAAAATCGGTCCACTAGCGGCGGAGTTATGCCGTAACACACATAAAAAAAAAAATAAAAAAAAAAACATACCGTCGAATTGAATACCTCCTTCTTTTGGGAAGTCGGTCAAAAATAAGCAAATGTTACTACAAATTTTGCTTAAAATCAGTTTATTCCCAAGTTTAACTTACCGCACTAGCTGTTGCCGTGCGGTTTCATCTGCATAAAATTATCTTATTATTACATGTGTCAAATTATCAATTGCAAATGTCAAAATGACATGACAAAACTTGTCAAACTTGCTTTCTTAATGTTGGCAGCAACTTAGTCTCTTTCCCACATTAGGGTTTTTATCCAAAATATTTAAACCCCTAAGTTTAATGGCGTGAAAATATATAGCCTAAAGCGTGACGTAAGTGTAGGGCTTTTTATTAAAAATAGAATAATTCAATAATATAGTGTAATTGCTGACATCTTAGGTAACAAAGAAGTGTGTGTTTACGCTTTATTATAATAGTATAGATTTATTTGTAAGGCTGTTAGTAATAATATTAAGGGCCTGTCCCACCAAATTGTAAATAAATAAAAATCTAACGTGTAAAATATGTGGAAATACCGCATTTTGTTGCCTTATCTGACAGTTACGTATCTGAGCCTCTATCAGCCAATGGGACAAGCCCTTAGTCTTTTTTTTTTTTTTTATAACATAAGGGGGCAAACGAGCAAGTGGCCACCTGAAACCGCCAAAATGGCGAAGCGACCGCTGCCCATAGACATCCGCAATTGCAGATGCGTTGCCTACCATTATACGACGGAGGAGGAAACGCACGTAAAGAGGATATTCCCACTTCCTATGCATCTCTTCCACCGTCAAATCCGCTTCCTCTTCCCAACCTCTCCTTATAAGAAAAGGGTGGTAAAGAGAAAGGGACTTAAATTAGGCCTCCGTCATCCTAGGTCAAATTTTAACATCGAGTTTCCATTGTCAAGACTTGTGTAACATGTTTTTAAACAAAACATAAATATATAGACAATTTCTTTAAGAGAGAACACATAATTTATGATTTTTCTCGAATTATTAGGTATTTTAACAATTTCAGTCGAATTACAGAACGACAAGTTTTTGACCCGGTGGGAATTGAAATCACTTCCCTAGGGGCCGTCCATATATTACGTCATTCTAAATTAGGGGGTGGGTTGGTCTGCGGATGAAGGTAAATGATAGATAGGAGGGGGGGGTGTTTCGAAATTGACGTCATTCTTATTTATTTATAGTTTATTGTTCACAATGACGTCAATTTTGGGAGAAGGGGGGGTCATTAAGAAATGACGATAGGATGATTGTAGGGGGGGAGGTCTAAAGTCTGATAAAATCGATGGCGTAATTTATGGACGGCCCCCTACTCACTGGGTCACATAAATCTCTTTCAATTCACAATGGTAACGTTTATATCACTAAAATGTCTGATATATGAATACACAAGATGGCGGACAGTAACAAGATGGCGGCGGGCAGAAGCGCGGGAGATTTACAAACTAACAGATCGTTCGGATATAAATTAGGAGGAGGTGCCTCTTCACCTCCTTTGCAGTATTCGCCGCGAGACTGGAAACAAATTTAAACATCTCATAATTCATACTAATATTATAAATGTAAAAGTTTAGATGGATGTTTGTTAGTTTGTAGCCTAAACTGCTGACTGGATTTCGATGAAATTTGTCATATATGTAGAAAGTCTGGAAAAACACAGAGACTCACTTTTGTTTTTTTTAATTCCACGCTGACGGAGTCGTGGACAAAAGCTAGTATGTACATAAATTAAATAGTGATAGAGCCCGCTTTAACATCTTCGCACTGCAGGGCTCGCCCGCAATACCACGATCACACAGAAAACAGGCGTGAAGTGGGAGCAATTCCGCGTAGTCTGATTAGTGTGGTGTCGGAGGCTTCATTTTACTCCCTTTCTCTTTCCACCCTTTTCTTAAGTGGAAAGGATAGGAAGGAAAGTGGATTCGGTGGAGGAGACGCATAGGAAGGGGCAATTTCCTCTTTATGTGCGTCTTCTCCGTCAATGAAGGGTAGGCAGCGCATCTGCAATTGAGGATGTTTATGGGCAGTGGTCTCTTTCCATTTCGGTGGATTCAGGTGGTCGCTTGCTCGTTTGCCAAACAATTTAATGAAAAAAAAAATCTTACCCGACGTTCTTACGGTGAAAGTACACAGTGATGCATAAATCGGTGAAAAAATTCAGATAGTAGGTTGTAAGGCCTAGTTTTCGGGTAGTCTCCAACTTAGTGGGGATAATTTTATATTATAAGTTGGCAAACGAGCAAGCGTCCACCTGAATCCGCCATAATGGCGAAACTACTGCACATAGACATCCGCAATTGCAGCGTTGCCTACCCTTCATTGACGGAGGAGACGCACATAAAGACGACATTTCCCCTTCCTATGCGTCTCCACCGTCAAATCCACTTTTCCTTCCCATACTTTATTGAGAAATTTAACAGTGGTAGATCCCGCTTTAACATCTTCGCACTACAGGACCGGCTTGCCCCCAATGCCACGATCACACAGAAAACGGGCGTGAAGTAGAAGCAATTCCGCGTTTCGTCTGATGAGTGTGGTGCCGGAGGCATCATTTTAGTCCCTTTCCACCCTTTTCTTAAGTGGAAAGGATGCGAAGGAAAGTGGATTCGACAGTGGAGGAGACGTATAGGAAGCGGCAATTTCCTCTTTATGTGCGTCTTCTCCGTCAATGAAGGGTAGGCAGCGCATCTGGAATTGCAAATGTCTATGGGCAGGATTCAGGTGGCCGCTTGCCCGTTTGCCACATTATTTAAAAAAAGAGAAAAGGGTGAAAAGGGAAAGGGACTAAAATGAGGCCTCTGGCACCACACTCATCAGACTGTAGACGGAATTGCTTCCACTTCCCGCCTGTCTTATGTGGTTGTGGTATTGGGGGCGAGCCCTGCAGTGCGAAGATGTTAAAGCGGGCTCTACCAATGTTACATATATAGTGAGGTGATGATGGTGATATGGTCTCCACACTCACTTGGAACTCTTCAGCGCAGAGGTCTTTACAGGGTGGGCAGACCACGCCCCCGCGGTGCAGCCAGCCGCGCTGCATAATCCTTACTTGAAGAACTTGCCCAGCGTGGTAACATGTGTATGAGTAGTTTCCCACCTGTGGGCGAATTGTTAACTAGCTGTTACTCATAACTTCGTCCACATTTAATCTTAGTATTATAAATGCAAAGTTTAGATGGATGTTTGTTAGTTTGTAGCCTAAACTGCTGAACGGATTTTGATGAAATTTGGAATAGATGTCGAGGATAGTCTGAAAACACATAGGTTACTTATTTTGGTTTTATTAATTTCAGGTGGACGGAGTCGCGAGCAAAAGCTAGTATATAGTAGTCGTATAAATATAGCCTATGTTACTAAGTGATAACGTAGTTTTTTAATGGTGAAAGAATTGTTTAAATCGGCCCAGTAGTTTTTAAGTTAATACATACAAAAATGCAAATCTCTTTATATTAGTATAGGTGACCTGACGGTAAAATACTAAATTTTTGCCCGCCTGTCGGTAAAATCTTAGATTCTCACCTGACTTTGGGTAAACATATAGAAATTCTGCCTGTTTTCCGGCAACAAATTATAAAATTTCCCGACTATAATAAATATTATTAAAAATTAACAGAGGTAAGTTTTTACTCACCACAATATGCAATCTTCCACTTTGACATTTATATTTATAGCATCCGGAGCCCCAGTGCTGCCACTCTCTGATCTGGAAACGGTGAATTAAATATTTAACAACGCCATCTATTTTTATCAGACTGAATTACGCAGAAAAGGGCTGGAAATCAAAGATATTTAAGAAATACATAGACTAGACATAAAACATTTTTACACCGGTAACTATGCCTCCCTATATATTTTTATATCTTTGTTGTCTATAACAAGTATCACACATTTGTATGCCAGCTACTGGCATGTGTGAACACTAACTTTGCATACAGGTAGCACGATATTAGATTGACAGCTACTGGCTTTACTGGCATATGTAAACACTAACTTTGCATACCAGTAGCACGATAATATATTGACAGC